CCTAAGCCCCACCGCTTCAGCACCATCCTTCAGCATGCTATAAGCCCCCTATGCAGCGCGTAGTCTTCAGCTCATTATGTTTATGTCGTCCGCATACTCCGCCAATTAAACTGATTTGTTGATTAGCAAGCCACCATATTCCACCACCAGATTAAAAAGGGTGGGGGCCAACCAATCTCTCTGCTTCAAAAAAGTAGTATCAACTTTGCTGAGATTTCAAAGTGTTCCATGATCTTGAACAGCTGTTTTCTAAATCCTGCTTGGTACTCGCCTATGACATTTCGGCAAAAGGTTGCAGTTTTTGGTTCAGGATATGTTTAAACGCCACGATAGTTTCGACATGCAAGCTTGTCTCCTTTCTTATATATGGGGTATATTACTGTCTTTCTCCATTCCTCAGGCAAGCTTTCTTGTTCCCAAACCCTTTGCAGCAGTGTATAAATTCTCCTTGCCAACTGCTCACTTCCAGCCTTCAGCACTTCTGCTAGTATGCCATCGATCCCTGGCGCCTTTCTATTTTAAAGCGCCGCAATTACGTCTTGAACCTCATCGATGAATATGGGCTCCGTGGCCTTCTCCTCTTTTTGATTTGTTGTACCATTGTCCACCTCCGTTTGGGATCCCATATTTAGTAGGATCTGGAAATTATTTTTCCAGGCGCTATTTAGCATAAAATGTCACTATGTTGCATATTTTTATTGAATTAAAACTAGAACTAACACTATACTTAGAACTAGAATCATTTGGGTTTAGCCGCACGTCTCTAAAGACGGCTAAATAAGTAAATATATAATAAGTAAAATCAAACTTTTTTTTTAGACTGGATCATTAGAAGGCCAAAATTTTCGTAAAACCCATAAATTAATTTCATTAAGCGAACAAAACTTGGTAGATTGTTCAGAAAAATTCGGCAACCATGGTTGTGATGGTGGCTTAATGGACAACGCTTTTAAATATATTAAATACAACCACGGAATTGACACTGAAGATTCATATCCGTACGATGGCGAAGAAGAATCGTGCAGATACAATCCAAGTCATTCAGGAGCGAGTGATAAAGGATTCGTTGATATTAGATCAGGAAATGAAACCGCTTTACAAGCTGCTGTAGCAACTCTTGGACCAATTTCCGTTGCGATCGATGCGAGTCACCCAGGTTTTCAATTTTATAAACACGGCGTTTATTATGAACCAACTTGTAGTGCTAAGTATTTGGATCACGGTGTCTTAGCTGTTGGATATGATCGGGATCAAAAAACTAAATTGGATTATTGGATCGTTAAAAATTCATGGGGGGAAACTTGGGGTGATAAAGGATACATTTTAATGGCAAGAAATAAGGGAAATAACTGCGGAATTGCTACAGCTGCAAGTTATCCGTTAGTTTAAAAATATCACTTTTTTGATCAAATAATGATAGAGTTAAAGAAAAATTTAGTTTTTGTATTTTTTTTTTAACCAAATATACAAGGTTACGCATTTATAAGTATATCCTTTTATGTTTAAAGATTTAGATTAACTTAATAATAAGATATTAATAATTAAGATAGAACAATACATATTTTTTGTAGTTTATTTTTATTCAATAAAATTGTATCTATAATGAAATTTTTAAATCGTACAATATTTACCTTACATACGTTTGTTAAATCATAAAATGCTACTTTTCACGTAAGTTTTTTATTAACTAAATATTCTAAGACAAAGAACAAACGAAATATATTACACTGACTTCTATAAAAATACAAACAATAGTCTACTCTCCGCGTTTATTAATTCTCTTTTTCGATTAACCCTTTCAAAGCTACAGATGCCTAAATGCAGCTAATCTCAGCCACATAGCTGCTAAGCACCTCAAAGGGGACTGGCTGCATTATTACAGCGTAAAAAGGGTTAATCTAATTTTTACACCAATAAAAGATGATAATACGAACAAAAAATTTATTCCATTTTTAAATGATATAAACTAAAACATTTATTTTTCTTGCTTTTGTTACTTAAGTGTTTGTTAATAACTTTTCGTTTCAAAATGTTGTAATTTTTTGGCGAAGAATAGCCTTATATATTATTTTTCTTAAATATTTTTTCGTTTTTTCAGTTGTAAAAGGATAATTTCAGGCACATTATATCAAAATATGCACTGATTCACTTATTTTTTTTTTGATAACATTAGTAACAAATCGGAAACATAAACATCTTTACTTTAATTATTTTTGTCATTAATCATAATAGTTTAACGAAAGTTGAAGACAAAAACTGTAGGTTACTCAATCAATGTTGTTTAATAAAAATATTAATTCACCACCAATTTGCTCTCTATCTAGTCTAAATCTAAATCATTTCAATTAGTAGTAAATAATAAAATTATTTAAAAAAAATCATTTCCTTTCATTCAGTGTACATGAAATGACTGTGTATTTTGATAATGTACTTTTACCATTTGGACGAGATATACATTTCATAAATCTATTCTATTAAGAGTTTAACTTAAAAATTGATACCAACAGAAAAATTTATTCAACTTAAGACAAAAAAATTCTTTTTTTTGTATATTTGTGATACATAGTATTTTTAATTTTAAATTGTTGTCAAAATTGGTAAAATTACACCACGGAAACATTACTTATATAAGCTAACCTACAGTAAAAAGATATTACGTCCATCATCACACAACATTTTTACTCTGAGGAAGGCTTTTCCTCATCAGCATCTGTTGTTGCCTCTTCCGTTGATGGGGCAGCCTCTTTAGAATTTTCCTCATCTTTATTTATTTCATCATCACTCTTTTGTTCTGACGAAGTTGCATCTGTACTATCTTCTTTTGCTCCATTTTCTGTTGCTTTAGATTCAGACTCAACCTAAATAAACAAAGTTAATAAATTAAAAAAATTAATAAAGGATTTCTCTTTAATTAAAATTCAATAAAATCTTGATATAACGGATTAAAACATTTTAAAACCACACAAAGTAGGATAGATACAGACGTTGCGTTCAGTGTATGTGGGTTTATACTTATAGAAAGGGCGGTAGTCACCTTGGACATAATCATTTTTCAAGCAGAAGTTCTTGCTATAAACTTCTGCACCGTTTTGAACCTAGAATAAGGATAGAAAGGTGATCAGAGAGTGTACCAGTAAGCTGAGCGAACTCGCTAGAGGCAATGATGTCACTCTATGATGAGTCTCAGGTCACAGAGACATTGAAAAAAGATGGACAAGCTGGCCAAAGAGGCAGCGAAAACGCTTTTTATTAGACCCCAACCCGGTTGTGGACTACAATCAATAGTTGAGAGGCCTCAAATGTAGCCTTACGCTGGAAAGAACTTCCAGGTTACAGAAAACGTAAGATTCAGGCTTCCTGGCCGGCCATGCGCCCTTAAAATACCATCTCTACCACATTGAACAAGCTGAGGATTAAACTTGTCAACTTTGTAACGACTGCTGAACATATACAATGCTTAATTTATTCTATTCCTATTTTGTAATGTTGTCAGTTTGAGACTTAAGGTTCATAATATTATGTTCATTGTTCGCTGATTTCTTTTTTTCGATTTTTGTTGCTCCTTCTCCAATCCAGTAGAATGTAGATTGTGTGGAAATAGAGCCCTTCCTTTGAGTCAGACGCAGTTTGACAGGATTGAGGTTGAGGAGGCCCTGAGGGGCCTCAAGGTTACTAACAGTATTGGTACTAACTATTAACAGATTGATAGTACTATCTTATTTAACACTTCATTAGTAATGGGTATCTTTCCTTCATTGTAGAAGTGGGCTTTTATTCTTTCCATTTTTAAATCTGAGGATCGTGGTGTTCTATTTGATTACCGCCCCATATCTATTTTACCAGCATTTGGGAAATTAGTTCAAGTCACGTCTATTCTTTGCCCTTAAGTCTAAAATCAATTGCAGACAACATGGTTTTTTTTGCTGGTCGCTCGATTGAGAGTAACTTGCTTGAATATACCCAGTATATCAGTTTATACGGATTTTAGTAAAGCTTTCGACAGGTGGATCATAACTTACTTCTGTTTAAACTAATGAAGTTTGGTACTCAGGGAAAACTTTTGCAATGATTTGCTTCGTATCTGAAGGAGATTCCAGATTGTTTGGGTTAATTATTTTTTTCTCTAATCCTGTGTCTGTTCCTTGTGGTGTTCCCCAGGGTAGCCATTTAGGCCTTTTACTGTTTAATATTTATATTAATTACATATTTGACGTCATTAATTATGTCCAATGTAAGCTGATGATTTAAAACTCTTCCTCCATATCTCCTCACCTCTTGATTGTTCTACATTGGATATAATTTAAATAATCTTCATGCTTATAAATACGAAGGTTTTCACGACCAGTGTTAATTGAACTACACTAGAACTAACACTAGANTGTCACTCTATGATGAGTTTCAAGTCACAAAGACATTGAAAAAAAGATGGACAAGCTGGCCAAAGAGGCAGCGAAAACGCTTTTTATTAGACCCCAACCCGGTTGCGGACTACAATCAATAGTTGAGAGGCCTCAAATGTAGCCTTACGCTGGAAAGAACTTCCAGGTTACAGAAAATGTAAGGTTTAGGCTTCCAGGCCGGCCATGCGCCCTTAAAATACCATCTCTACCACAGTGAACAAGCTGAGGATCAAACTTGTCAACTTTGTAACGACCGCTGAACATATACTGTGTGAATGCGTCGCCAGAGGTCGCCTAAGATATAAAATTTTCGGTAAAGTACACCTTACACCTACCGACATAAAGGGACAAGACCTTGAAGCAATACTAAGGTTCATCAAGGACCTACTTATAGGTAGCGGTGACGAGAGAGACCGCTCATAAGGACGGTAGAATCTTCATTCTAGAAACAGGTGCATAGCTCGAAGGCCCGTTCGTGACGTCACGCAACTATTATTCCACACTTTGAATTTGCAAATGCTTAATTTATTCTATTCCTATTTTGTAATGTTGTCAGTTTGAGACTTAAGGTTCATAATACTATGTTCATTGTTCACTGATTTCTTTTCTTCGATTTTTGTTGCTCCTTCTCCAATCCAGCAGAATGTAGATAGCGTGGAAACGGAGCCCTTCCTTTGAGTCAAACTGCGTCCTTCACGCAGTTTGACAGGAGTGAGGTTGAGGAGGTCCTGAGGGGCCTCAAGGTTTCTAACAGTATTGGTACTAACTATTAACACATTGATAGTACTATTTTATTTAACACTTCATTAGTAATGGGTGTCTTTCCTTCATTGTAGAAGTGGGCTTTTATTCTTTCCATTTTTAAATTTGGGGACCGTGGTGTTCTATTTGATTACCGCCCCATATCTATTTTGCCAGCATTTGGGAAATTAGTTCAAGCACGTCTATTCTTTGCCCTTAAGTCTAAAATCAATTGCAGACAACATGTTTTTTTTTGCTGGTCGCTCGATTGAGAGTACCTTGCTTGAATATACCCAGTATATCAGTTTATACGGATTTTAGTAAAGCTTTCGACCAGGTGGATCATAACTTACTTCTGTTTAAACTAATGAAGTTTGGTACTCAGGGAAAACTATTGCAATGATTTGCTTCCTATCTGAAGGAGATTCCAGATTGTTTGGGTTAATGGTTTTTTCTCTAATCCTGTGTCTGTTCCTTCTGGTGTTCCCCAGGGTAGCCATTTAGGCCTTTTACTGTTTAATATTTATATTAATTACATATTTGACGTCATTAATTATGTCCAATGTTTAATGTAAGCTGATGATTTAAAACTCTTCCTCCATATCTCCTCACCTCTTGATTGTTCTACATTGGATATAATTTAAATAATCTTCATGCTTATAAATACGAAGGTTTTCACGACCAGTGTTAATTGAACTACACTAGAACTAACACTAGACCAAAGATTAAGATGCGACGATTCGATGTAGACCTTTAAATTGGAATGTCTTCTATCTTTTTTTCAAAACTAGAGTTTCTCACTCTAGCGTCGCATCTTGTATAGGGTAGAATATACCAACTGTTACAGTTGTAGGTTAGGTATGTTATTGTCAGGACATTAAAATTTTAATGTCTTCTATCTCTTTTCAAAACTAGAGTTTCTGGCATCTTGTTTACTCTTTAATCTTTGACTAGACCTAAAAACTTTCAGGTTAAGCCAGACGCCTTTTGAAATGTGTTTGACGTTTCGTATGCCATGTTTAAAGAAGAACAACAAGTTCTTGTTTCTGAAGAAGGTTGCAACATGGCATAAAAAACGTCAAAAGACGCATGGCTGAACCCGAAACTTTCTAGGTCTAGTGTTAGTTCTAGTTTTAGTTTAATCTTCATGCTTTTTGCTTAATTAATCGCTTTTCATTAAACTTATCAAAGTGTAATATGGAGGTGAGGGACCTGATATATCACTTACATCGACAGTTTAATCATTTTCAACAGCTTTTATAACTTTTACATACATTAAAGCTGTTTCTAAGTCACCACCTTTTTTTGCTATAACCATTTCTTCTTTGGTTACATAATTCCAATATTTTTTATTATCTTCAGATAACTCTATTGGCTTGGGTTCTTCATTTATTACTTGATTTTGATTATTTGCATCAATTTGACGTTTTTGTGCTGGAGTGGGTGAGGCTACTCAAGTAGGACTCAACACAGTATCATTTTTACGAATATTAACGGTAACTTCCGGTGGGAAAGTTTTAATCTTTCTTTTAGCAAATTAACCCCGCCGCAAGTATCATTGTTAGAACTAGATTTTTCTTCAACTTATATAAGAGGTTCTTCATCGTGATCGACTCCGTTTAATAAATCGGGATTATCATCATTTCTTGATAAATCCTGGTTGGATTTTCTGCTATCATCGAATCTAAATCTGCTTGTGGAACATGCTTTTTCCTTGGTGGCTTCTTCGGCTTTCCACCTCCAGATAAATCGGCTAATTCGGGTTCTAAATCGCTGTCAAAACATCAATATCATTCGGCTTTTTTTGCCGAATGTTCCCCATCTAAATCAATAGATGTTCAATTTGCAGATGTAGGGCACTAATTTCCGCTGATATACCTCTATATAAAATAAGCAACAAAAAGTTAGTATCGCTGCTAGAATCATATACAGAGTACAAAGTACCATCGTAAAATAGATTTCGCACAAAATATGTGAAACAACTTTACAAAAATACCATAGACTACATACAGATATGCATGAACGGTCGCTTTTTGTGGATTTCAATTGACGAAACAACAGGAAGATATATGGCAACTGGTATTTTGGATCATGATGAGTTGCTAAACAACGATTTTTGTTTCGTGCTTAATAAAGCGAATCATAGCAATATTGCAATGCTTTTTTCAACAAAGACATGATTTTACTCTTTGTGTCAGTTGTTGTTTCCCACATGGTAAAAGCAACTCAGACTGTACAAACGTTTTATCCAAAAATGACACACTTAACTTGTCTTGCACATGGACTTCATTGAGTTTGTGTGCAAATTTGAGGTATATGAAAAAAGTATTTTTAAAAGCGCCGTCAAGAGAAGCAATTTTTAATGAAATAATGCTTTGTCATGCTCTTCCTCCACAACTGGTAACTACTCCCTAAGGAACATAGACTGAAGCGACTAACTTCGAAATAATTGGGAATGTGTTTGATGCGTTAGATGAATGGGACGCTGCGTCAATTCAAATTTCAAAGGACCTATTAAATGACAATACAATAAAATCAGACCTTAGCGCATCAATAAAAACATTGGAAACAGCAGGGCTTCCACTTTCTATACAGATTGCAGTAATGACACAAGCTCAGGACATAATTAATGGCATAAACAGTGAAGCTGCTATGTTAGCAAAGAAGAAAATGGTTATGGTTATTTCATGAACCATAACCAGAAAAATCATGGTTTTTCTATTTTGAAAGAAATTTCTGCATGTTTGAGTAAAGGATCCACAGAAATAACCTCAGTAAAAAGTTAGCATTTAAATTTGCACCTACAGACAGTTTATTCTTGATGAGCAAACAGTTTCTGTTTTATTTTCTATTTGTCTTTTGTATTTTCTTCAATATTTTCTAATTCTCTTTTAGTTTTTACATCATTTTTCATTTACTTTGTTTACCTTCACCTACAGATAAAGATATCAATATTTTAATATTTCATTCCAATTTTTTATAGAGCATATTTTCATACTTAAGCAGCATATTATTATTTTGATTTTTATAGAACATTTTTAAGCGCTTAAACTACCATTTTTGGAGCATATTTTTGGTTACCCTACTGATGCATGTGTTTGATGCATTAGATGAAGAGGATGCTGCGTCAATTAAAATTTCAAAGGACCTGCTAAATGACAATACAATAAAATCAGACTTGATTTTCATTGCATCAAATTATGGCTTCTTTAGCGCATCAATAAAAACATTCGAAACAGGGCTTCTACTTTCTACACAGGTTGAAGAAGTGACACAAGCTCAAACCTAATTAATAGCATAAACAGTGAAGCTAATAAGTTAGTAAAGAAAAAAATGGCTATGGTTATTTCAAAAAATTATGTTTTTTTCTATTTTGAAAGCAATTTCTAGATGTTTGAGTAAAGGATCCACAGAAATAACCTCAGTAAAGCGTTAGCATTTAAATTTACACTTACAGACAGTTTGTTCTTGATGAGCAAACAGTTTCTGTTTTATTTTCTATTTGTCTTTTTTGTATTTTCTTATTCTCTTTTAATTTTTATATCATCTTTCATTTACTTTGTTTAACCTTATAGCATATTTTCATACTTAAGCAGCATATTTTGATAGAACATTTTTAAGCGCTTAAACTACCATTTTTGGAGCATATTTTTGGTTGCCCTACTAATGTATTAAATAAATATTATTAGTATGACATAAAAACGTTTTGTCCATTATATCAAGATTTCATTGCACAAAAAAAGCATACTTTAGTTGTATCAGCATTATTATTCCCTGTTTCTTCTTTATCGCTACTATCTTTCATTTCATCATCTTTTTTATTATCTCCAGTTTCATTTGATTCATCTTTAGATTCATCATGAGAATCAGCTTCCTCTGATATATTCCTTTTGGGACGCCCACGAGCTAAAAAATGTAATCCAAATTAAATCTCTACCTCCTATAATTGTTTAATAATCATACCTGAGGAATATTTACTTTTTCCTCCTCTTACAGGTTTAGAATTAGTGGAGGGCGTTTTCTTCTCTTTTTTAACTGGTGGAGGAGGTGTAGCTGGAGTTGTTACACCTTTCGCAGCGGATCTTGTACGACGGCGACCCTCAATCGTAGGGCCAAGACCCTAAATTAAAAATAAATACATAATAATGCTATCTAGAATGTTCACAAAGTGATTTTGAGGGATTTTTATAAAATTTTTAAAACAAAAACGAATAATTTCAAAAAAAAAAATTTGATCAAAGATTCTTCTTTGAGAAAAAGTACAATAAACGAAATAAAGTTTCGTTTAAAAAATATAAATAAATACCTTTGTAATAGCTTCACTTTCTTCTCTAGCCCGATCTATCGTCGATATCCTCGGGGCTCTTTTCTGTTTACTTTTACCATGCTTAACAAACAAAAAGAAAGATTTGTTAATTAATATACTATTTATTTCGTATTGTACACCTTTCTAAAAGAAAGAAGCTTTTAAATGGCAAAAAACCATCAGCAACATTTTAAAACTTTAATAATTTTCCCTCCAAAACAAGTGAAGAATGCGAATCGATCAAAGACATACGTACGAGCAACGCGCCCGTATAAACGAAATCAAACTACCTCAAAACGTACGTCCTAACTTAACCCATAGCCTACTACACAACCTAAATTGCTTTGATTTTTTTTAACGTTAATCGCTTATTAAAATCGTAAAATCTATCTATCTAATTAACGTTATCGGAGTTGTTAATATATATTAAAATAACGTTCACGTTTGTTTCCCTTATGACAATGTGCACGTAAGAACCTAACACATTGCTGGTGATGCCTCACGGTTACACTTTCAAAAACGACGGAAATAATTTATTTACCTGATTGTTCTCATCGTTCGCAGCATTATTAGCGCTTACTGTGTCGACTTCTGACATTTTCGTTTAATAAAAACTCACTATAAATCAGTTATAATCACAAACACGAACTGACGGTTACAACCGGCCCCGTTGTTTATACCAGAAATGGCGGACAGCGTGGGTCACGTGATCGAAAAAGTACTCGAATATATAATTTTCGGTTTTACTCAATAGATGGCGGTTAAATCGGTTTCATTTTTTTACATTTAATTTTAATTATTGTTATTAACAAATTAATATGATAGTTTTATAAAACAAAAATTTAGATTCCATTTAATTCATAAGCAACAAGATATTTTTTTAATTAAAATGATAATAAATTTAAAAAAGTTGTCATCTAATTACCAACATAACCAGTAATCAGGTAATTAACCTCGAAAAATTAAAAATTTAAAAATGTTTTACACATTTTACAACATGAAAAATGTGTAAAAGACGAAATAGCTGGTTACCATAAAGGAATAAATATATTAATAAAGTATAATGCTACAAGATTTATAGAAAAATTTTTGAAATCAGTAGAAAAGAGATGAACATTCATCTTCAGTAATAATATAGTTCTAAATACCTTAAAGAAAATACAAGCAGAAATCGACATGGTTAAACTAAAGGCTAATGGCCAAACAGTAATCCTGCAAAAGACTACTGACTCATACATAACCTGGACAACAAGGCACTTGAGAATCAAGAAAAGAATATGAAGCTCCCATTAGAAATTCCTAAACACAGCTTACATGGACAGCACCTAACTGGTAAACCGAGACGTTAGGACAAAGGAAGAGTTGTACAAAAGTCTAGCACACAAATCCATCTGTCATGGAAACAAGAAGGCTGGATAATTGTTAGCATAGCCGTGTGGTATTATTGAATAGAAGATATAATAGAAGACATTTATTAACGTTTTCAATAGCCTTGCCACAATTTTTGTTGAGGATGATGCCATATGCCATGGTGAGATCCACAAATAAGAGATGTGTTGTTCTTCCTATAGCTACTTTCTTCTCTGTGAACATGGTGGTCATTCTTCTTATATCAAATTTTTCACTATTCGACCGTATACTAGACATTGGTAGTTATTACAGTTCGTCTATCTTCTTTTTTATGCATTGGTGTTGTCCACCCTTGCTTCCAAGCCTCTAGAATTACTTCACCATTCACAAAGTCTTGAAAGGTATCTGCCTATATTTCTAGCAATGAGTCTGGCGCGTTTTTTATTAGCTCAGTTTGAATCCCCTCTGGAGCACTTCCCTTGTTGCTTTTCATTGCCTCCCGTGCTTTCTTTACCTGACCTGCTTTTATTTCTGCCGCAGGGTCTCCTACTCTATGTGTTTCTGGAGTTTGTTATGAACTGAGGTCTTTGTTCTGTTAATTCCCTTCCTAAGTATGTGTCTAGTTCTTCAAACTTACAATAACGACATAAAAACAATTTACAATCAAATCATGAACACTAAATTACTTTATATGAAAAATTATTAAACTGCACAATTCGATAAATAAATAACTATTTCTTTAAATATAAAATTTAATATCTAAATCATAAAAAAATCTAGATTTTGTTTCCCCTCGTTCGCGAATGTTCGTAACAATTCGAGATTATTCCATCCCCACTACGGATTTGCTATATAAATCGCCCCTCGAATTCAAACCCTCCAGTCTTCAGCAAATTCCCTCATTGTCGAAGCGAATAAAAACAAGAAAATGTCTCTCATTCCATTCTTACTCGACGATTTCTCTCATCGTCCCTCAAGAATTTTCAACCAAAACTTTGGTTTGGGTTTGGACCCTGAAGATTTAATGCGTCCCCTAACTATTCATCCGGATCATCATCATCACCATCATCATGGTCGTCATCGTGGTCTTACACCCTTCAGTTATTACCGCCCATGGAAATCGTTGGCGTCGGAACAAGATGTCGGCTCAACGATCGCTCTGGATAAGGACAGGTTCCAGGTGAACTTAGATGTTCAACATTTCAAGCCGGAAGAGATCGTCGTTAAAGTAACCGGAGAACATACGATTACAGTCGAGGGGAAACACGAGGAAATGGAAGATGAGCATGGATATATTTCTCGTTCGTTTACGCGAAAATATATTCTTCCGAAGGGGCACGATATTCAAAAGGTTGACTCGAAATTGTCGTCAGATGGGGTTTTAACAATTACGGCCCCTACACTTAATCCTGATGCTATTGAGGAACACAGGAAGATTCCTATTCAACACACTGGGGTTCCGTTGAAAGCTGTTCATACTAAGAAAGATGAGAAAAAAAATTAAATTGAAATTGTATTGTAAAGCGAAATAATAAAATGTTTGAATTAAAAAATGATTTTTATTTTTTACGTAGTACACTGTTTGGTATTTTTTTTTTGTACAAACAATGCAGATACATTTTTTTAAGAGTATCTAAATAACTAAAAACTCATCAATCACAATATTATAAGAAATAATAGCATAATAATAGTCATTCATAAATACTAGTGCAAAAATACTATGCTAAATTTTCAGGCGCACCATACTCTCATACAATAATTAAAAAATAAAAAGCTAGGAATTATAATTTATTTCCTTTTCAATATTTTTCATTAAATAAAACTGGACCACCGCTAGTAGGTGTTTTTTTCACAATATACATAGTTTTTAAATCTAATAAATACATAACATTGTTTTTTCTTTTGGATCAAAGCCAAAAAGTAGTATACAATTTTGTAGTTTACGATTAATTAATTTGATTTTAAACAATTAATTTAATGATCGCCTTTTTTGATGTCGTTTCAAATATTAAAACGAAACTTATTAATCTTAAGGTTCCTACTTTTGGTGGTTAAGAATATATAAATTAATTAAAATTAACAAGAACAAAATTAGGAATCTTACACAATCGTCTCACGACCTTTACGCAAAAAATAGTCGTTGAAATAGTTTATTTTTATACATTTTTTTTTGTTTAAATTCTAAATCCTCTTCATTTCGAGGAAGATCCTACACGTTAATAAAATAGTTACTTTTTATTTTGTAAATATATCATGTAATAAAGATGCTACTACTTTCTAAGAAACTAAATTAATAAAAAAAAAACTGGGAAATAAAACTTTTATTTATACAGGATGTTTTATTTATTTAGGGATTGGTTTATTTTTTAATGTTAAAAATAATTATATTGGGATTGTTTAATATTGTTTCCTAGATAGCTTAAAAATATAATAAAATATCCTGTATAAGTATAAAAAAAAAAAATAAAGCGAAGATGAAACGAAAAACACATGACAGATAATCACAGGCGTAAATACTATTTTTTTTAATGAGAAAAATGCAATTCTCTGTTACAATTTCTTTCCCCCTTTTCTATTTTTTAAATTTAATTCATTTTTAAGGTTAGTTTATTTCCCAGTGGTGTATCTGTTGAGTGTGTATGTTTTGTATAGAATTTTTCTATAGATTAAAATACCCTTTTTTAAATTATTCTGTTTTTTTAACTATTTTTTTTTATATTATATCAGTAGCTTTTTCTTTTTAATTTCTTTTTTTATTTTTAAATAGAATATATATATCGCACTGCACGGATAATCAACGGAACGCAAGATTATTATTTTTTTATTATCATAATGTTAGGCACACGTCATCGTCATCTTACCAAACACAGCTCTTAATAAAAATGAATAAATGCTCTCAGCTTTTTCAAATCTACAGAGTGTCTCCGTAAAAAACAACCTGTATATAATAGATGACATTGTTTTACCGAATTTGAGCCGTGTCTAGTATGTTAACTTTTACGATTTCTACAAAAACGCGGCTCATCTTAGTCTCATTTATGATACACAGTTTTTGCTCTTCCTCTTTATGAGTATTTAGCCCCGTTCTGATAGAGCTAATTAACCTAATGCTAGTGTCCTTTTGTTGCTTCTTTCGCCGCTAAAATTAACGGGGTTAAACTTGCCAACGGTCGCGCTAACTTTAAAAACGGATGCTGTAAAAAAATTAAATCAAAATCGATTTAATTTATATCGGTATTTTGATTTTTATTTATTACCTTAAGTAAATCTTTTGCCGACGCTCTTTTATCTACTTCTACAGCCAAACACTGGTCTAAAAAGTCTTGGAAAGGTTGTGAGAGTTTATCTTTTTCCTTAATTTCCGGCTTTCCATTCGTCGCGATGAGATATAAGGCTCTTAAAGGATTTTCATTTAAGTAAGGTGGTTCTCCTTCGATCATTTCGATAGCCATTATTCCCAAAGACCATACATCAACCTAAACACAACAAAAATTAAACAAATTTTTTTTGTACTTAAATTACTTCAACATACTTTTGGTCCATACTGTTTACGTGTAACTACTTCTGGTGCCATCCAATAAGGAGTTCCTACCATGGTCGTCCTTTTCGATTGCTCAGGACTAATTTGAGCACAAAAACCGAAATCCGCTGTATAAAAAAAAATGTTTTCATTAAAATTTTGTTCCAAATAATATAATTTTCGTACTTAATTTAACGGATCCGTCGAGGCCTAGCAATATATTATCAGACTTAATATCTCGGTGAATGACTTGATTAGAATGCAAAAAATCCAACGCCTGCAACACCTCCCGACAAACTGCGGCAATCTGACCCTCGTCCATACACGTTTCCGTTACAACATCTGTTAATGACCCTCCAGGCAAATACTCCATTACAACCCACAGTTCCTCGCTCACCAAATAACTATCCAAATAATTGACCACATTACCGTGCTTATTTTCTCTCATGACTAGAATTTCGTTGATTATTAACTCTTTTTTTGGTTGTTGCGATAAGTTCATTTGTTTTATAGCCACTTCTGTTCCTGTTGAGGTTTCTATTGCTGTGTACACAGTTCCAGAGGCGCTACAAAAATGTATTTATTTACAGTAAAACAAAATTAGAACACGTAAAATTTGAATTATGTCAATCCGAATTGGTAAAAGATTCGCTAATCGGAATTGGACCGCGTTATACATCACTTGAGTAAGCGACTCGTGTACAAATTTTTGAAGAAAATAATCTAGAGTTTGATTTTTGTTTTAAACCACGTTAAAAATAAAAAGAAAGTGCGAAAATGTGATTAACTTCAGTTATAAAACTTCTATTATATGATAACTAACTTCAGATTTAAAATGTCAACCTTAATTTTGACATATTTGTAATCTTCATTAAAAATCCTTTAAAATGAGTCCAAACACGACACATTTATCTTCGATATTAATGAAGTTATGGTCAACTTCCGGTTATGAATGTCAACGTCAATTTTAACATATTTGTAATCGTCGTGAAAAATCCTTTAAAATGAGGCCAAACACGACATATTTATCTTCAATATTAACGAACTTATGGTCAACTTCCGGTTAATATTATTTTGACATATTAATTTTTATAAAATGTCTTAACATTTGTCACAAAAACAAAAATTAAGGTTGGTATTAATATTTAAAAATTAAATTGTCATCTTCATTGTTGCTAACTTTGGGTTTAATGTTTTTTATTCTAACTTTTTTGTTTTTTGAAATAAGTGCGTCTTGTTTGGACTCATTTTAAAGGTATTTTTAATAAAGAATACGTCATAATACATCATGAAGTTGTCCATTTGTCTATTATATGATAATTAACTTCAGGTTTAAAATGTCAACCTCAATTTTGACATATTGAAGTTAAGAATTTGTTTTTTATTCCAACTTTTTTGTTTTTTGAGATAAGTGATAGATCTTTGGACTCATTTTAAAGATCCTTTAATGAAGATAATAAATATGTCAAAACTGACGTTGACGTTTCAAACCGCAACTACATTAATATTAAAGTTAAATATGTCAACTTTGGACTCATTTTAAAGGATTCTTTATGAAGTTGACAAATATGGAAAAATTAAAAGTTGAAAGTTCGAACTTTTTGGTTTTTTGAGATAAATGCGTCAAGTTTGGACTCACTCTAAAGGTTATTTTATGAAGATTACGAATATAATAATAAAATTAAAGTTGACATTGACAACTGAAAGTTTTTTCACGACTAAACCCGAATGTTTCTAGTTCTCGTTCTAGTTTTAGTTCAATAAAAATGTACAACACAGTAATATCTTATGCTAAGTAGCGCTGTAGTTTGTAAAATAGATACGATGAGAGATGTTAATCTATTTGTAAAGTCTCTGAAGATAGCCAAGGGCCGAAACTAGTTAGACATAACTTCTATATAAAATAAAAGACATAAAATTTTAATTTTATACTAACATCTAGAAAACGATACTGTATTCTTGTATGACCATTTAAACCAGTTGAAACACATTTAGTTTCATAGTACTTGTTTACGTTATACGCTCAATTTTGCGTAAAAATGCCACCTAAATGGGCGGACAAGATGTTAACAAGCGCGGAAAAAGAACAAATAGTAATAAAACTGAGTAGTGGTACCAGTGGAAGAGCAGAAAAATATGGTGTCGATGTGTTAACCATTTCTGGCATTAAAAAAAAATAAATCCTACAATTTTTCTCAAATCGGTAATATGTATATTAACATGAACTTTTTCATGGCTTTAAAGTTACATTACAAGTTGAATGTATGTAGAAAATATCGTGAAACCAACAATTAACCAATGGTTAATATTATAGGTGGAGTATTATAACTAAGACATTATATGGACACTTTTTTACAGAGAATTTCATGACCTACGCAAAAAAATTTTTCAGCTTTAGATTTTGAGATATCATAACAATTTTTGGTTTTTTAAATGAAAACAACCACTGATTATTCGCTTATTAAATTCGTTATTTTTTTCTGATTACAAAATATAGGGTTGAAAAATATAGGTCTATTTCTTATTGTTTTAGAATAAAGCTAGTGTCGTCAAAGAAATTAAATTTACAGTTTCCTGTAAATTATAACTAAAAATTAAAAGAATATATTTCTGATATTTGAAACAAATACATTTGTTGAACTATTTAATTTATATTTGTTTTACACAAAAGTTGAAATAGCATTGCATTATTTCACATTTTTTATTAATATTTAATATTATTATTAAATGACTTAATAAATTATTGATAGATGGCGCCCATATATATATTTCTTTTATATTTTTTTAATTCAAATAAACAGCAACATTTGTNTAGAATAAAATACCTTTTCTAGGTAAGTAAATGGCAAATAAACACCCCACAACACTTTTTATGCACCTTTTCTTTTTGAATAACGAAAGCTCAAACGTCAATGTGACATATTTACTTCAAAACATGATAAAACAAAACTCCCTGTTAATTTTGCCAACTTTACAACAATTTGACAGGTATTATAGAAAAAAAATGAACTATAGCAACATTTGTTTGTATTAAAAAATTTTCAAATGTAAAATTAAAAATCCTGTTTTTTAAGATGGATTACGAAAATTACGAAAAGTTTAATATGTTAGAAGGTTTAATTTTTTTGACGACACCAAAAAAAGTTTATTTTTAGCTCTATTCTAAAACAATAAGAAATAGACCTATCTAACCCAATATTGTTGTAATCAGAAAAAAATAACGAATTTAATAAGCGAATAATCAGTGGTTGTTTTCATTTAAAAACACGAAAATTGTCATATCTCAAAATCTAAAACCGAAAAATTTTTTTTGACTGCGTCATCAAATTCTCTAAAAAAAAGTGTCATGACATGTAAGCTACTTTTTTTCTAACTCTTATAGTTTCCGAGATAGCCTATTCCAACATCGAATTTGAACCACCCTGTACATAAAAACAGCAACAAATTAAACTATTTACCCTTGTCCGATTTTTTCCATTTTCGTATACTTTCTATTAGGATCCCCAACAGAAACAATACTCCGCAATTTTTCCAAGATTTCCTCATCGGTCATCTTCTTTTTGCGTTTTTCCGACGGCGCCCTCGACATTTCCGGTCCAGCTTGATTTTTATTTCGATCCAAAATTGGGGTGCTCGGAGCATTGTTTGTAGTTGTAGTAAGGCCATGAGTCGGAGGTGTATGCACCGGACTCAAACTATGTGTTGGAGTGTGTACAGTGTTATTGGTTTGAACGTCTTCGATTGGTTTAGTGTACTAAAAAAAATTTAAATTAATTTTTATCCTTTTTATAACTATCTAAGTTACTTACAATACTTTTAGTGCGCTCTGGTCTACTTGCAATTGGTGGAGGAGGTGCTTCATCTTCTATTTCAGAGCTTGGAGCATGTACAGGACTATGGTAAGATTGGGGCCCTCCTTCCGGTTCTGTTGGCGTTGTTGAGCTGGGACTCGAGCTTGATACTCGACTTAAAGATGAATCTGTGCGATAATTAACTTATAATAAAGTTTGTTTTATTAAAAAATAACGATTTGTTACCAGAATGCGTCGCTGTGTTAGTTTTGGTCATGAATTTAGTCGCTGGCGGTTCTTTTGAACTGCTATCGTACCAATTCAAGACGTCCAAAACAGCTTGGGGGTTCTTTTTTTGTTCTTGTTTACTAATATTGGAAGCTTTTAACCATCTCGACCAAGCTTCCGGCATACCCTGTTAACAAATTAATTTTTGATGTAATCTTCAATAACAATTTCATTTAATACTAATCATAATTAAATAGGTGCATTAAAGGAATTACTTAATTCTTTTTCTCAAGGAAGGATTTAAAATAAAGAAATAATCTACGTGCTCCTGAATAAAACATTCAATATACAACATTTTATTTATAATAATATAGAAATAAAATTTATTTAAAAAAAATTTTTTTGACGTTATAGGTTAAGTTTAACTCAATGTCAAATGTCATTTTGACGTTTTACAAAATGACATTTTGAGGTTAAAATGTGAGGTTAATTTTGATCCCAGTTAATTTTAAGTTAGTAAAACCTATTCTAAAACGCAAACTAAACAAAACCATGCTCATTTACTTACTTTCAATGGCAGCTTGTAACAAAGTTCAAAAAAATGTTTAATTTAAAAATTAAAATTCAACCAAAAAATCGCATTTTATATTTTCAAATAGTAAAAAATAAGCACCTAGCCGTTAATTCTAACTTTACGAAATGATAAAAAATAATCATAAAGTAAATAAAAACAAAAATGACTAAAACTAAATCAATTTTATTACAAGAATGAAATTCCCTCACCGTAAATTCCCCAGAAACTGCATCAAATCCAACATGAACGGTGTGCTCAAAATTCGTCGGATATGAAATGTTAGGTTTATCTGAGATGATCGTTGATGATTTGTTGCTTTTTATTTTCGATTTTAATGTTTTCTTTTTCCGTTCTGGATCTTCAGGCTCTTTTGGTAACGGTCTATCAACCGCAATACTACTGTTACTTATGTCTATACCCCGATTGGACGTTAAACGTACCGGCGGCGCTGGGGGTTTTTCATCATCCGAAGACATTTTAGTTAAAAGATTACTAAAATAAAAGTAACACAATTATCAACTTAAAAAAGAATTTTGTAAGGATTATATTATGTATACTTGAACATCTTAAGTGAATTATTATAAAGTTTAAAACTTTGTAAAGATTTTAAAACATGATTAAGATATATATTCAAAGAGAAATAAAAGAAATAAATTAATGAGATACGATTTTATTAAAGATACATGTAGGTGAAAACCGTAATTTACACATTTCCTATTTCGAATAAGAAAAAACTAAAAGATAATTTTAAGAATGGGGCACGCCTGCATGCGTCAGTGGCCTTTCAATTAGATTTTGCGGCCGCGCGAGGATGGCCATTGACTCGGCCAACAACACACACTTACTTGAACTTACCTCGATTACTACGTTAAAAAAAAAAAATAAGTGGAAACGAACTTGGGGGAAGATAAATATGGGGCTGCGGGATTAAACCGCTTTTAGGGGGGAAACTTAGGGCCCCCCGAACGTAAACATTTACGATACTGAAAAACTGAACGCGGCTCACAACCGAACTAAATGCCAATTTTACCCACCACTCTTCCTTTTCCACACACCACCATTATCCGGTGAGTCGTTAGACGTATTAAATCCAGAAATATCCCGTTAGTTTCGTCTCGCTTCATCATTAGTTAAATTCATTTTTTATCCTTTTCTGTTTTATGGTCATAAGTCGTTTCTTGATGCGTTTGAAATTTAGTGGTTTTGGGGATTTTCAGTTTTGTTACTAGAAAAAACGATATGGCCGATAAGGTGGAATGTCAATTTTGACAGATTAGGTTATTGTTATTTGTAGGTATTGTTTTATAATATTTTTACATTAAACAATAATTTTATGCTGCCTAATAAGGGGTATAAAGATAAATATATAAACACCCCACCAAGTAATCAACAAAAATCAACCATGAAAAAAAAGGTAGGTTAAAGAACTAATCAATTTTATTTTAATTTTTCTTACCTTTCAGGTATTATTAATGGGTAAAAGCGGTTCAGGAAAAACCAGCATGCGTTCTATAATTTTCGCGAATTATATTGCAAGAGATACACGAAGATTAGGAGCTACAAGTAAATAAAAAAAAGGAAAAATTCAAGAATCATAGGGCTTAAAAATCGATGTTTTTTTTTTAAACATTGTGAAATGACCCAAAAAAGCATGTTAAAAATAAAAAGAAAGTGAAGAAAAATGTAGAACATATCGAAAAATCACCTTAAAGTTTTGATGTGACATCATGTTTTGTTAGATAGACTGTGTGTCAATAAACTGTGTGTTATTATTAGAACTAAAACTAGACTGAAAACTAGAAACATTCGGATTTAGTTGTATGTCTCTCAAGATGGCTCTAATACTAGGTCTTGTGTTAGTTTTAGTGATAATGTTAGCGTAAAACTAGAACTAACACTAGACCCTATTTCTAGTTCTAGTGTTAGTTCTAGTTTTAGTGCAATAAAAATATGCAACATAGCTATATCTTATAAAGTCCCTAGATTATCATGGTTTGCCGCCATTTTGGCTCGAAAGTCAAGCGGGAAATTTAAAACTATGTCGTTCTGTTGATATAATTACGCCAAGTTTCCTTTCTTTTTTTTTCTCGTGGTACTCTGAAGACTCGAAAGGCCTTCCTTACTGCTATTTTTTGTAACTCCAAAGGCAACAAGACGGCATTATTTTTGTAAATAAGCGGTGACATGCACTGACAAGCTGTCAAACCGCCATTTTGGCTCGAATATTTCGAATACACAGGCTTCATGAAGCGCGGTACTTTGATAATCTACGGACTTTAATATCTTATGCTAACTAGCGCTAGCTACCACTGTCACTGTGACATTAGAACTAGAAACATTCAAGTTTAGCTGTCTTATGGCCCCTCTTCACTATGGCTTATCATGGACCACTGGGAGCCATGGCCATTGTGTAGAGGGGTGATGGGGTGAAGTGGCCTTTAGTGGTGGATAATGGTGATGATAATGGCTAATGGGCCATCTAGACTATATCACTTTGTGGAAGCAACCATGCTAGCCATCATCAATGGTGGCCATCATGGCGACCCTTCTAGTAGCCCATCATGAGCCGTAGTGAAGAGGGGCCATTAAGAGACGCATGGCTAAAGTAGAACTAACACTAGATCGAAAACTAGAAACATTCGGATTTAGCCCCACATGTCTCAAGACGGTTAAACCCAAATAATTGTAGTTCTAGGTCTTATGTTAGTTCTAGAACTAACACTAGACCTAGAACTAGAAAGTATCGGGTTTAGCTGTACGCTCCATGCCCAACCCAACATTTGAGAAATTCGCACTGGTTTAAATGTTAATTAACCTAACTCAAAGTGGAATTTCTACACAAAATTCTGAAATAAATCACTAAATTAGATGGATCCGAATATATCGTTTAACCCTAGAAAGCTAAAGTATCGTAAAAATTACGAGTTCAATAAAGATATACAAAAATCTGGCGCTGAATAACAAATAACACTAGATCTAGAACTAGAATCATTCGGCTTTAGCTGTTCGTCTCTTAAGACGGCTAAACCCGAATGTTTTCTAGTTCTGGGTCTAGTGTTAGGTCTACTTCTAGTAATAAACTAGGAGACTTTAAAGATGTCCAAAACTGTCCAGAAGCTTTTTAATGGTCTCTATAGTTGTCAAATAGTGTTTAAACGCTTCCTAGACAGTTATAAAGATTTCCAGAAAATTTTTAAAGATGTCCAGAATCTTTATTTTTCGCTCGTCTCTCAAGACGGCTAAACCGGAAAAAAATGTTTATAGCTCTAAGTCTAGTGTGTTAGTTTACTAGAACTAGATAGTTTCTAGCACTATCTAGAGCTTACTAGCACTACTTAACACTGTCACTAGACCTAACACTTGATCTAGAACTAAAATCATTCGGCTTTAGCCGTTCGCAAGACTAAACGGTGGGCTTTGTGCGTATTGTATGGCATTTTGAACATTGTACTTGTGAATGCATATGTCATTTACGTCACTAATGTTGTGAAAAATCAGAAACTGGTTTCAAGAAAAATATTTGTGCGGTGTCGATTGTGTTGAGGACTTGTAATTTCCAAATTTGACCTAAACATGTTTTCAATGATATATTTTGACTAATTGCTAATTAATGTCAAAATTTGTATCTAGAAGTATTTTTTTTACAAAATTTTTATTCCAGTAGTAAATTTTACGATAGTTTAGCTTTAACGTCACTTTTGAACAGTTTAGCTTTCTAGGGTTAGGTCATCAGGTATAGATTTTAGGTTATCTTTAGTTTATCGATGGTAAACAACAACATTTTAGTCGTTGTGAAAATATGCGGTTTAACCAAATGTGCTGCGTCGTTAGCACGGTAGATGACGTCACAAAAAGTGACGTCACGTCGAAACTTTAAAGTGATTTTTCAGTGAGACATGATGATTCTTGAATTGTACCAAAAAAATCTAAACTTAAATTTATTTTCAAATACTTTTTTTAGTCGATGTAGAACACTCTCATGTTCGTTTTCTTGGTAATCTCGTTTTAAACTTGTGGGATTGTGGTGGACAAGAAGCTTTCATGGAAAATTACTTCGCCTCGCAAAGAGATAATATCTTCCGTAACGTTGAGGTTCTCATCTACGTTTTTGATGTTGAAAGTAGAGACCTCGACAGCGACATCCATTATTATCAAAATTGTTTAGAAGCGATCATGCAAAATTCGCCAGAAGCAAAAATTTTTTGTTTAATCCACAAGATGGACCTCGTCAGCGAAGATCAACGTGAAATTATTTTTAGGGAACGAGAAGCGGATCTAAAACGCGCTTCAAAACCACTCAAATGTACATGTTTTCGAACATCAATTTGGGACGAAACTTTGTATAGAGCTTGGTCGAGTATCGTTTACATGCTAATTCCGAACGTAGAGGCTTTAGAAAGTAGTTTACAACAATTCGCAAATATCGTAGACGCCGACGAGGTGCTTTTATTTGAAAAGGCCACATTTTTGGTCATTTCACATTGTCAAAGGAGGGCGCATCAAGACGTTCATCGTTTCGAAAAAGTTTCAAACATAATTAAACAATTTAAATTATCCTGTTCGAAATTAGCGGCGCAATTTCAAAGCATGGAAGTGAGAAATTCCGCTTTTGCCGCTTATATCGATTTGTTCACAACGAACACTTACGTTATGGTTTGTATGTCTGATACGGTTATTCCATCTGAAGTTACGCTGATTAATATTCGAAATGCTAGGAAACATTTTGAGAAATTGGAAAAGGTTACTAGTACAACCCCAATTGCTCATCGTTAGTCATTTAATGTGGTGATAATTATTTTTGCATCTCTATATTTGTGGTGATGTAATTTTTTTTGCCTTTTAAGAAGTTTTATTGAGTATATGTTATTATTAAAAAGTAAAGAAAATATATCTTTGATTAAGATTTGTTTAATTGTCTTGGATGTTTTCACCACCTCATTTATAAAAGCTACAAATTGTAATTGTAATAAACAACCTGCAAGACCTAATGGCTTGCATCAGTTGTGGGAGAGTTCCTTTCTTTAGTGCTTTGACTTGGCACATTATCAAACGCAGAGTGCATATACAAGAAAGCCAGGTAGATGTTGAAAGGAGAAAATGAGATTTTGTGTTTGTCATCTTGGTCCGAAACCCTCCTGCTCCTCATCCAGTTCTTCTTCAATGCTAGTCTCCATACCGTTTGGAGGAGTTCTTTAATTTCTTCTGCCAATACATGGCTCATGCCATCCCCATTTCTGGCGACCCATAGAGAGACCAAGAACAACATGGGATAAGATAGTGATGTAGATTGCGGCCAGGCTAGGGAAAACTATGCAGCAGCTCAAAGGTCTTGCTGGGGAGAAGGAAAACGTCAGAAAATGGAATGCCAATGTCAAAAATCGTGTTTTAATTTTTAAAAATTATTACGAGACTGATTTTATAATATCTATAATATTTTCCAAAGCCTCTAACCTTAACCTTTTAAAAAAAATATATTAAAAAAAACAAATAATTACATTTAAAATTAGATAAGAATATTAAAAAATGAGATTATTTTAAACCAAAGTAAACTTTTAACGAGAATTCGTTTGACGAAAGATAGCGAACCATTCGTCCTTGGCCCAGTCGGGACTGACTGACAATTTAAAAGTAAAATGCTTCCAATACAACCTCTACTCGAGTTGACTCAAGCGTTAGAACACCATCTAAACTCGTTCCTTATCGTAATTAAACCCATATCCACCAAAAAAAAGCAACAATAATCCAAGTTAATCCTCATATCCAGTTGATAAGTATCGGAAATCGATTCCAAAAAAAGAAAAACAAATTCCCAAAACACACAGAAAGTTCAAAGTACAAATTTCCAAAGATTAAAGTGTTTTTAAACGTAGCGGAGAAAAAGTTCTTAAAATATAAAAATACCTCCGCGCGAGGATAAGATGTAAACAACCTAAAAACTTTGAAATTTTCAATACGTTCGATTTTCGTTTTGTAGTTTGGAATGAATGGAACGAAAAACATCGACGGCGTGTTTTATTGTGTTGTATTTGTGAATAAATCGATGAAACCTGTTGAGTTTGCGGACGTAGAGCGTATAAATGGATCGTATTTTAAGAGGAGTAATGCGATATCGGAATGTAGGGAAAGAAATGATGTTGAAACAGTTTCAGGAAGTTCGAGATAATCCAACGGTAAGTAATACTTTGATTTCTATTAATTTGTATAATTAAATATGGCCGGAAAGTATAATAAAAAGTTTTTTTTGTTTTAATTTAAGCCTAAAGCTGTATTTTTTACTTGTATGGACAGTAGGATGATTCCTACAAGATTTACACAGACAAACGTTGGAGATATGTTTGTAGGTAAGTTTAAATTTCATAAGCAAAAAAAAAACAATATTAAATTTCTTTTTAGTAAGAAATGCGGGCAATTTAATACCACATTCTCAACATTTTATGGACGAATTAACTACAAATGAACCCGCAGCTTTAGAATTAGGATGTATAGTAAATGATATAAGACACATCATCGTTTGTGGACACAGCGATTGTAAAGCAATGAATTTATTACACAAATTGCAAGACGCAGAATTTGCATCTTTGGTAAATTAAAAAAAAAAAAAGTAAAATGTACTCACTTTGAATTACAAAAATAATTTGGGAAATTTGGAGCTTACATATTTTGAGAATTTGTACTAGGAAAGTAAAAAAGTAATAAATAGCATTATCAGTTTTTCTGATTACTGTTTGTCATGATAAAGGTAAATTGTTTACTCGAATATATGAACTCATAAATAAACATTCAAAAAAAAAGGTAACTCTTTTATAAACTATTTTCAAAGTAAAAAATTCTCAACTAGCTTAATAAAGTTTCAAGATATAGGTTTTGAATAGTTGAGAAACCCAGTGTGTCATAAAGTAGTGTTTGTGCATAAAGTATGGCCAAAATTAAGATATCTTTCAATTAATGTTAAAACAACATTTCCAGTCTTTCTGAATTAACGATCCGCGTAACTATCTTCGTCCTTCTCTCCCCATATCTTTGTTATATGGGTGCGTGTACAAAATTAAAGCCAGAATATCTGCCATGTTAAGAATATGCATCTGCATGTTTGGAGATTTTGAGGTTTTTGGGTATACCACATCATATCAAGGTTTTACATGTATTTTTTAGAACAAAATCTCCTATAACGTTCATTATTGCTTTCTCCTAAGTGAAATTATTATCGTTTTGTTAAGCAGATGTGTCCAAATTATTTATTTTTAAGTTTCTATATCTTATTTGAGCTGCAGATACGACATTTATTTACCATTTAATACAACATCCAAGCAGAAATACAGTATCCTCGCGATAATGTGAATACCAAAGTTTTATATATTCTACTCTGTAACATAAACAATGCATAAACTCGGATACGTGACGTCATTATAACAAACTCAAACACATTTTGTTTATCTCTCTTTAAAAAATCTAAGATAAATGAAGAACATGAGAAAGGAGTAAGTGTTTCTGCGTTAGCAAAATCAAGCGTTCAACTAGGCCATGTAAAAAACACACTTTAAAAGCAGAATATGAAAAAATGGATGGTATTAATGGAAGCTTAATGAAACAAAAAGCCATAAATTTTTGTAGTAAATATTATACAGGATGTTTTAACGCCTGCTATAGCTGGTTTCAAAAGTTTAAAATGCGTTATGGCGTAAGACTGTTAAAGATCTGAACCTAAGTGACTATCAACTTTACAATGCCGATGATTTTCTGGTCAAAAAATCAGCTCTTGGTATAAAAACGGCAAAACGCAACTTTTCTTGGATGCGCAAATGCGTTTGGATCCCATAAATTACGACCTCTAGTAATTGGCAAAACTGAAAATCACACAAAACAACACTAAAAATGCTTGGATGACGGAAGAAGTTTTTAAAACTTAGTCCCAGAGATATTAGTGACGAAATTATAGCTAGAGTTGAATGAATTTTAGGTTGAGATATTTAAAAAGTAAAAATCTTCGACGAAGGGCGGCACTCCTTTTAGATTATTCACCTTCAGATCCTTCCAACTTCCTGCTTTGATCCAACTTATGGATCAAAACGTATAAAAAATAACGAAACTGCATTACTGTGTCACAAAGAAGAAGCAAATATAAAAAATATCACTTAAATTTACTGTGGAGACCTTGGCAGCAGCATGGGAGAAATTGGAACCCAGGATTTTACAAATATATTGGCATCTAATAAGAAGTAATGAAGAGTATGATACTAAAGATGAAATTACCGCTGTCAAGCAAGTGGAAAGAAACTTTTTAGTACCACTTGACAGATTTTCTTATGGATTCCATAGATTTAAACATAAATTGGTATGAAAACGGCAAAACAACGTATAACTTTTCTTAGATGCGTTTGAATCTCATAAATTATGACCTCTAGTAATTGGCAAAACTGAAAATCCCAGATGTTTCAAGAATTTTAATATTCCAGTTATTTACATCAACACCAAAAATGCTTGGTTGACAGCAGTTTTTAAAAGTTAGTTCCAGAAGTATTAGTGACGAAGTTATAGCTGCAGTTAAATGAATTTTAGGTTCAAGAGATTTAAAAAATAAAAATCTTCCACAAAGATTCTTCCAAAGAAGAATACATACACTCACTTGTCATACAAGCTTCCAATTGAAAAGTGGCAAGAAAGATCTGGAGAAGATAAAAAGACTATAGCCGAGACAAAAAACTAATTCAAGCGAAATTCAGGCAGGAGATGGGCCTCTTAGATATTCCAAAAGCTGGTTTTGGAAATACTAATGACGGAATTTCGGCTAGAAGCTTTTTCCAATACCCTAAATCGACAAGCGAAATTACTGGGGTTGACGAAACCTTAATTTACAGATTGAAGATTATATTGGAAGCAATATCAAGCGAACATGGGACCATGATTTGGAACATGGACCATGCACAAAATTTTACATGCTTTGTTGCCGATTGGACAACTATTAGAGGAGGCTGCTGAAGTCAGAAACAAAAACTTTCGTACATACAGGCAAGGATTCGTAAGAAAATTTTGCCGAGAGGCGTATAATAGAGATGATATACATAGATTACTGTTGAGCTCTGACCCTCTTATTACAAGTACACGCCAATCGCCCAGAAAATCAACGAAACCGTTCTCCAAAGAAACCATCCATCTTCTACTTCCATCAAAAGCTGCATTAACTTCTACCTAAGAAAGTCAAAAAAGTGTCCATGAAGACGAAGAATAAAATGAGGAGAGTTCGTGTGACGATACGGGATATTTATTTTTTAATAAATATCCGGTTTTGTGTTAATTTCCAGTTTTAAGTTTATTATATTAAAAAAAACTTATGTAACGATTTTACTAACATACGAATAAAAAGAGTTTTGACCAACTTTTACTATCAAATACCCCTATGTGTTTACGATTTCCACAACCAATGTAATCCAGTGCTTTTTTCATGTTGTAGAAGCTTTTAAAAATGACATTAACGCTACCTATACAATATTACAGTTGATGCAAAAACATATTTCTGTTATACAATATAAGACATATTTAGGGTTTACAAATTCAATTCATTTAGAGTTAATTAAGCTGACGTTTTAACACTTAAAAAAGTAGACGATTTCATTTATAAATCTATCATTTTTGGCATTAATTATAATAAATGAGTACATTTTACCAAAAAAAAATTTTAACATACTAATAAATTAAGTAACAATTAATTTTTTTTGTTGTAGAGAAATAGGAGGATATCTCCATTACGTGCTTGGTTATGCACACACGCTTTAAGCAGCTTAGAAAAATTTCAGCAACTTCAATTGACGGATTTCGCAAAACCATTGCTCTTTCAAGCGGAAACACCAATGCGAAAATTTGTTGCTTACATCGACCATGACAATAAATTCGCCATTGAAGATAAATTATCGCAAGTTAACACGTTGCAACAATTGCAAAATATTGCCAGTTACGGTTTTTTAAAGAAACGATTAGAAACGAACGAATTGCACATTCACGCTTTGTGGTTTGATATTTATACGGGGGAAATTTATTATTTTAGTAGGGCGGCGAAAACGTTCGTTTGTATAAACGAAGAAAGTATAGATAAAATTTTAGAGGAAGTTGAAGAATATTATACGTGATATTTGTATTTTTTTTATAGTTCCTTGATATATTTCTTTGTTTTAAAATAGAACCTGAAAGAAAAAAAAAACGATCTAATTAATTCTTTATTGATTCTGTAGTTTTCAACAGAATGCCCACTAATCGGATCATCAACAATATACATGGTGTACACAATCATAAATATTATTTATGTAGCGCGGTAAAAACACATTGGCGCTTCAGTCTAACATATTTAATATTAGGCACAGTGTTAAAAATATCTATTTGATAATCAATAATGTTTATAATCTTATTCAATAAATTAAAACTTTTAAATGCTACGATTATATTAATTCCAACTTTGAGATAAAATTTTCCGTTACATTTTAAGTTTTTATTTATCGAACATGGTATTGTAACAAAATTACATAAAACATATTGTATAGTAATAAAATAACAATTTAAATTAACGTTTATTTCTTTATCGAATTAATTCTTTGAAAATTTATTTAGATATATTCATTATTGATTACCAACGTAATTAAACTATAAAATTTTCAAAATGTTTTCAACAAATATTCTAGATACAGAATAGAAATATTCCTGCAAAGAGCTCGCTCGTTATCATTTTATTACCTAGTTCTGTCGAAAAATTACAAAATTGAAAAAATCTCTTATTCTGTAAAACTTTTTTCTTTAAATTAAACATTAAATACATGTTTATTCACATATTTTTGTATAATTAATTAATAAACAAGCGAAGTTGTTTATCAAACAACTTAAAAAAAAAATAATAACAGTATGAGTAGTTTTAAATAATTCAAAATCTTCTTATTTAGCCAATTGGATTCTTTTTCTTTATCGATTCATTTAAGAGTTTTTTTCCATAACATTTTTTTTCTTATATTGTTTAGATGTGATTATGTACGGCTGAAAAACACAGTATATAAGTTCACGTAAACGCACACGGGTCGCTTTCAGTTCGTTTTCAACACCTGTTTGTCCGTAATTTTTTTTTTCTTTAGCTAACTTTTTTTTAGTCCGGAAGGAGGAAATTTAAAAAATTGAAAATAAACACTTTGCACTGTTCTTCTTCTTCTTTGTTAACATTTTTTTTTCTTTTCAAGTTTGTTTTTGCCAGTTTTTTTTTATACGAATTTAAAAAGTTCACTGAGAATTGCTTATTAACACTGCACACAAAAGTTATTTATTTACGACACGGCAGTTTTTTTTTAATTAATTAATTAAACAAACGTCCCCGTTTATTATTTTTTTAATATACGTTTCGTATTTTTCTTTCTTCTTTCTTTAAATTCATCTATCTTTATCCCTCTTTCAAAATTTGTATTTTAGTCTGATCCGAACAGTGGGCCAGCTAATTTTTTTTACATCTATGTTACTATTTATATTTATAATGTAATAGTGTGATCCATATACCAGATTTTTAACTTTTTTTTTTGTAATTTTATGTTTTCAATGTTTTTAAAAACCTTTTTTTTTTGTATTTTCACTATCAATCCCACACGTAGAAAATTAAAACTGTTTAGAATTTAACTGAAAAGTTTTTTTTTTAAATTTATTTTTGAGTGAAAAGTAAAAATTAGAAGCTAAAAAGGGGGTATAAATTAAGCAAAGAAATATTTTTAGTTATACAGGAGTGTTCCACATCATCTTACAATTTTCAAATTAATTTCATTACATGCTGTCATAGAAAGATATCTTGATTACTGTTGGACTCCATCAATTGAGCATCAAATGTGTTAGATACATCAAATACATTCAAAATTTTCAGAGTCAGAGACGGGAAGTCAAATGAAATTATTTGTGAGCAACTGTCAGTTGAACAGTATCTAAACCTTTGATTATATATAATATGGATTGAGCCAACGAGAGATACCTTGCGCAAGGTGATCGAACCGAGATAGACATAGAAGCGTACTGCCATATAATGGGTGTACTGATAGAAGTGAGATAGATATAGAAGCGTACTGACATATATCTATCTTTGTTACACTTTCACATTATCACTTTCCATCTGCGTCTATTCACCTTGAGCAACATTTTTGTTAGTAGATATATTCAGTTAGCTCAATCCATATTATATATAATCAAAGATCTAAACTGATTACGTTTAGCAGTTTCTGATTTAGGAATAAATCAGTACAAAACATTTTCTACTAGAAAAAAATCATGAAATGACATGAAATTCGTACAATGTTTAAGAGATGATGATTTTGACAGTAAAGTGATATTTTGTAATTAGCTGAACAGCAATCTGAATGTATTAGGATGTGGCCATACATCGCGCGGTAGCAATACGCAGGACATAATTCTGCTGCGCACAAATTTGGATATATCAAAGAATGTTTGCGCACAGAGAATGCACGTTAATTTCAGGAATACATATTTCAATGCCAATTAATGCATGATTTGGCGTATTAGGTAATTTATCTGACAGAACTCAAAGACTATTTGGAGGATGTACTCCTATAATACATCGCAATGTGGTTCTAACAGTATAAAATACCTTCCCACGATACACGAAACTTCAAAAACATTTTAAATGAAAAGTTTGGTGTAAAGTGCATTGAAAATGTTGGCGCCATTAACTGGCCAGCAAGATATGATCTTAAAAATCGTATTTGTAGGGCGTGTACCCCAATAATATATGTTACAAAGAACCAGAATAAGGTCATATTGAACTACTTTAGATATTAGGTCAGTTTTGGTTCAAAAGTTCTATAGTTCCAAACAATTCTGAACATTTCTGCGCATACATACAATATGTATGTGCAGAAAGATTCAGAACTGTTAGAAAGTACAGAACTCTTGAACCAAAAACAGACCTATTATGACATGCAATTTTAGCTTAGTCTTATTAATTTATTGCTATTATGTTGTAGTTTTATTTATTTCACCGCCTATTTCATGCAATTGCTGTAAGCGCACATTTGCTACTTATGGAAGTATTCTGACAGGTTTAAAACATCGAATTTTTCTTTTTGCTTCCTTTGAAGTTTTATAATGTGTAGAATAAGTGTACAAAAGGATATTTTTGTATCAAGCTAGATAGCTGAGCTACAAACGTCTTCATTTATCTAAAAAAAGAATTAAATTTAAAACTTGTAATAAACAGAAATTTCATATTTGATTAGTCTTTGTGCTTTTCATCATAACAAGCCGCCGTTAAAAGATACAGTTCTTGCAGTAGTAATGATTTTACATCAAGAAGTTTATTAAAAAGACGCTTATTTGGATTATTTTGGCAACTTCACTTTTTAACGAAGATTTCTCACCAATTTTATCCATCGTCTATATTATGGGTCTTACAATCAGGAGTTTAGAGAAGCTGCTAAGAACGTCAAAATTGCCAGAAGAGAAGAACTGGCGGCTCAGGAAGATTTCTCCAAAGAAAAGGAAGCAATAATCTATGCACCAAGCATAGCAGAATAATATTAATTTACACATTTGATGCTCATTTTTTTGAATATGACAGATAATAGAATATTAAGTGTTGAGTTCCAGATATTTTCATTGACAACTAAAATCAAATAAACTATATTCACAAAGAAAATTTTATATTTAACATTATTAACAATTTAAATTTTCCATAAAAATTTTATATTCGAAGTATGGAACACCCTATATAAATTAAATTAAAATGATTTAAAAGTTATGTATCAAATACATACATTTTTTTAATGTAATTAATCATTTTTAGCGGATTTATTTGTTTAAGAAATGAAAATTAAACAAAAAAAAAATTCTAGGAACACAAAATATTTTTTCTCTTCATGGTCTCCATTCTTAATTAATAAATTAAAGAGACTCAAACCCAGAGCAACGATTAGGACTAATTCTTTTCATTTTTTTTTTTTTTGGAAGTCTATCAGCAGGATGAATGTTTTTGAAAAAGCTATTTTTTTTTTTAAACAGATATACAGTGACCGCTACAAGAATGATGATTAACAAAAAGAACATTGTATCTTTTGTAATTGATGACTGTAAATATGCTTTTTTCGATTTTTTTTTAATATATAATTTTTTGTTAGTTAGCCATTTTTATAGAATTTTCTCTTTTTTTGCTTAGTTTCGTCCTCGGCCCCCTCTCCCTCTATTATTGTCACTTCGATCCTGAAAACAAACAAGACAAATTCCATAAAACCCCATTTAACCCCACAACATTTTATTTTACTTTTTTTTAAATAAAATCAAGATATCTCATCAACTATTATAAAATTCTATTTTTCAAAACACTCACTTTACAAATATTACACAAATTCACAAGAATCAATACAAAAACGTTAAAAAAAAAGATTTAAACTACATTACCTTATGGTGACCACCACTATGGTGATCATTATTCCTATGACCACCCTGTCGATGACCGCCATCTTTATCTGGATCATGATTACGACGATGATCGCCCCGATCTCTATGATCCCCCCGATCGCGATGATCCCTTCCACCACCGTGACCCCCGCCACCACCTTCATGATTCCCACCCGATTTATTACCCATAACGGTCCCACATTCCGGTTGTTTCCTGCTATCCTCCTCCTTTTGACGCTCTTCATAATGCACAAAATCATCGAAAATCGACGTCGAATGCCGATATGAATGCATAATTCGCAACACCTGCAACCCTTTCGCGTGCGGCACCTCCTGCGTGTCCCTAGAGTTCGTTACCGGTTTATTCTCGTTGTTCTCTAAACGGATGTGCCTCAGTTGAACGTTCGGAACGTCCTTCACGTAGATCCAGCGCACTTTAAACTGACCTTTCCACTTGTCCTGCGACCACACGGAGCTGTTCGAATTGTAATCGACCGCGGAAACCATTTGAGCCATACCGCAAAAATGACCGGAACCGTTCACCGAAAAGAACAGGTACACTGCACCAGTGTTCTCGCGTTCACGATACGCCTGATCGAGACGTTTATTGCCGTGTTCCGTACTGCACCAGATCTCATACTTGATACTGCGGTGGATATCGTCCTCCGAATACGATTTTATCACGAAAAAACGCGCGTTTGGAGCCGTCAAATCAAACTCTGACGGGTTATAGTTGTTTTTACCGCGCAATTCGTCCAAAACTGGGTGAGATGGAGTCGGTGCGGGTGTTGGCATTATCACTAGAAATCAAAAATTTCAAAAATATCATTTTGGATAAATTAAATTCTAAATTACTTTGCACTGGTGCTCCGGCAGGTAAATTTACTGTAGGTGGTAAATGAGGTGGCATCATTGCTGGCGGTTGATAAGATTGCATGGGATGTTGAGGATGTTGTCCTGGGCCAGGTCTTGGAGCTGCGGGTGGAGGTCGATTCGTCGGCGGGCCATTCCAACCTTGTCGAACAGGTATACTGGGTGTAATGGGTTTTGGTACTGGGTTGTTCACAACTGGAATTTGTGGTGGGGTATTCTTTGTGTCCCATGTTCCAATATCCATGTTGTGCTTCCCTGGAACGATGGGACCTGGTGGCATTCCAGGTCCTTTCTTTTTCAAACCTTGGTTCTGTACTGTTAATTGCGGCTTCGCAGGTTGACTGGCAATAGAAGCCCATGTTGTCTTTTTGGGTTGACTCAATGAATCTTTAGCATCTCCAGATGGAGTTTTTAAGTCTTTGTAAAAAATTTTTGTTAAATCTTTTTTTTATTTGTATACAGGTGTCCCAAGTAAACGGCAAAATACATAAATGGCATTAAGGAGCCAAGATACATTGAACTACAAGTAAAGGGCTTCTTATTGCTAAAACGTGACAAGCCACACGTTCTGCAAAAATGAGATTTTGCTATTTTCTCATCATGCAATAGTATGACAAGCGGCATAAAAATTTGTACGAAGTTATTCGTACAGATGGCTCCACTTATCCTAAAATCTAGTTCTTACATTAATCGAGAATCCGTTTCTTCATCAGAAATTTGCTGGTGAGTTTCATGACGTCATTCGTTGGTGGAATAAAGTAGGGGGTTTGGTGGACAAACTTTATAGTGATTAAAATGACGCCTCGATGAAATTCAGTGGCTCCATCTAGCAACTATTTTTGAAATTATTTGTTTTCCACGTTTGTGTTTGCGAAAAGGAGATTATTGTTAAAATTGAAATAGTTTATTTGTCTTGAAATATGGACGTGATATTATACTCATCTTTTCTTACAGCAATATTATATAATTTATCATCATTTGCATCGAACAGCTGTAGTATTAAGGAAGACGATGTCGATGGGTCCATTGTTTAACAGAATAATTGTCTAACTAACTTAAATGTAAGAAAATCAAATAATAAAGGTTATGTTTAGCCGCCGTCAAACAATAACAAATATCATCTTTCGTTATCTTCATAAAATAACCTTTAAAGTGAGTCCAACTTGACGCATTTATCTCAAAAACCCAAAAAGTTCGAACTTTCAACTTTTAATTTTGACATATTTGTCAACGTCATAAAAAATCCTTTAAAATGAGTCCAAACTCGATATATTTAAGTTTAATATTAATGGAAATACAAGCACTTCCGGTTTGAAACGTCAACGTCAATTTTGACATATTTGTCATCTTCATTAAAATGAGTCTAAAGATAAACAAGAAGTTAGCAACAATGAAGATAGCAATTTAATTTTTAAATATTAATACCAACCTTAATTTTTTATTTATTTTTATTATATTTTTGTTTTTGTGACAAATATTAAGACATTTTATAAAAATTAAAAATATGTCAAAATGACATTGACATTTCAAACCGGAAGTTGCTTATAGCTCGAGTAATATTGGAATTAAACGTATCATGTTTGGACTCGTTTTAAAGGATTTTTCACGACGATTACAAATACATCAAAATTGACGTTGACATTCTTAACCGGAAGTTGACCATAACTTCATTAATATTGAAGATAAATATGTCGTGTTTGTACTCATTTTAAAGGATTTTTTAATGAAGATTACAAATATGTCAAAATTGAGGTTGAAATTTTAAACCTGAAGTTAGTTATCCTTAATAGACAAATGGACAACTTCATACTGTTCTTTTATGACGTATTCTTTATTAAAAAAAAACATTAAAATGAGTCCAAACAAGACGCACTTTTCTCAAAAAACAAAAAAGTTAGAATAAAAAACATTAAACCCTAAGTTGGCAACAATGAAGATAGCAATTTAATTTTTAAATATTAATACCAACCTTAATTTTTTATTTATTTTTATTATATTTTTGTTTTTGTGACAAATATTAAGACATTTTATAAAAATTAAAAATATGTCAAAATGACATTGACATTTCAAACCGGAAGTTGCTTATGGCTCGAGTAATATTGGAATTAAACGTATCATGTTTGGACTTGTTTTAAAGGATTTTTCACGACGATTACAAATATGTCAAAATTGACGTTCTTAACCGGAAGTTGACCATAACTTCATTAATATTGAAGATAAATATGTCGTGTTTGTACTCATTTTAAAGGGTTTTTAATGAAGATTACAAATATGTCAAAATTGAGGTTGACATTTTAAACCTGAAGTTAGTTATCATATAATAGAAGTTTTATAACTGAAGTTAATCTACTGTTAGTCACTTTTCCGCATTTTTTTATTTTTAACGTGTTTTTTGGCTCATTTCACATTGATTAAAAAAAATCTTCGTTCTTAATTTCATTTTACAACTTTTTAAACTTCCATTTCGTAAATTAGTAACTAATAACCTGATTTAGACTTTGATATATGAACTTTTTTAACAAAACAAAAAGAAATATTAAGAAACTTGTTTGTAAAATGGATAAGATGAGATATGTTTTTACATGTTAATTTTAATTTTTACACGAATCGTCATCATTTTGTCTCCAGTTTTAGTGATTAAATTTATGCCACGACTGTGATGAAAACGAAAATCCCGTTTTTCTTAACATTATTCATTTGTCGCTTAGTCAAGTGATGCATAACGCGATCCAATTGTCTGGTATGATATAATGGTCTTGTATAACATGGAAAATTAAAAAAAATTCGATGATATAAAAGGAGAAACTATACCAATTTTCAACTTTCTAGCTTGACTGCTTCTTGAACAATCGAGATTTAAAGGACATTGTGTTAATTGCTAAAGAGATTCTAATTAAAATAACTCAAAAACTATTCTGTTAAATTCAACATATTTTTGTGTGTAGAATCAAAACATGCAATAAAAACTATATCATTCCTGTTAAAATAACATATGTTTATGTCAATACTTTGTTATAGAACCCCCTGTATGTATAAAAATATTTTCTGTTTATAGTGTGATACATTTCCTATAACTTTTCTCTAAAAAAGAATTATATCTTGGCTCCTTAATGTCGTTTATGTAATTTTCCGCTTACATGGGACACTCTGTATAATTCTTACCCAAATTTTGCATTGCTTGTTCGACAATTTTGATAGCTGAATCGTGAATGGCGGGTGGATAGATGTTTTGGGGTTCGCGATAATACTCGTCGTACTTCCTCTGGTTGCTCCAAGTGTTGTAATCGCCATTGCTTGGGAAATAATTGAAAGACGATGGTTGACCGAACGGCGTTGGTGTCGAGAATGTCGTCGATGGACCAAACATTCCTGAGAACGACAGATTTGCTAAAGGGTTACTACTTAATATGATGTCTAATTCCAGTGTATCTATTAAATTTGACTAAGCACTAAATTTTAATATTAAATTTTAATGATTTGTAGTTTTTTGAGGTTATGTAACACTTTCTGAACCAAATTGTTTTATTAAAACATATACATACCGTCCATAGAATAAGAATCGTGAGGATAACCGCTTAGAAAAGTCATGGGATCTGTTCCATTCGACCAAGTTCCGTCCCCGACTCCATAAGCCTGATACGGATAAGTTCCTCCGCTGCCATAATAACCTAAAAATTAACAAAAATACATTAAAAATCAAAATCTTTATAGAGATTTCTTTTTACCTGCTGTGTATAAATCGGTTGCGGTTGAAATTGGAACGGATGCACTGTAGGCGGTGTGGGCTGCTGAGTTCTGCTGTTGTGATCGCCATGGTTCAAAATCTTCAGAGCCTGTTGCTCCTTCACCTGCTCCTAACTGCTCCTTAGGGCCATTGGACACTAAAATAAATGAAATTAAAACGTAAAGTAAAGTTTTAAACGTTAAGTGAAAGAATAGTGACAGAACACAAACCTTGATTTCCCTGTCCTTTCATCCGCTGCGTCATAACCGGCACATGAAATAAAATAAAAATCACAGTGTTGAATAAGTTAGGAAAAATGGAAAACGCGGAATTTTACAACAACAATTAACGCATAATTTAAAACGGTTAAAAACTGTCAAATTGGAACTGTTGATTTTACCTGATCTGACACGCCTGCTGACATTGACTACGCCGTTTCACTTGTTTTTGTACCGCCACGAAATCACTGGCCCACAAAAAAACGCACTTTATTGCACTAAACGTACCGAAAGTCCGACGTCCTCACGCCACGGTACCGTACTTGCTTGTGTTTTTTAATTTTCGAAAAAAAAACGGTCCCGAATTAATAACTCTTTCAATCAAGTCAATTGTCCAACAATGGCGTACCACATTCGTAACCTATGCGCATGACCGTTACAACCGGGGTAAATCTTTTTTTTACTAAATTTATGTTGGCCAAATTGACCTGTTGAATTAATAATTAAATTGTTTAAAATAATTACCTTCAAAATTATTTTATTAATTTTATTGGAATTCAAAAACTAATTTAAAAATAAAAAAAAAATATGTTGGTCAAACTGATTCGCGGAATAATCACAAATTTTAAAAAGATGATTCCGTACTTTAACAATTTTAATTAATATTACTTAGATTCGTGCGAACCGTACAAATTTGACCAGTATGTACGATTACACGACTAATTCACGACTTTCTACAGCGCATGTTCGTCAACCCCGCCAAATGTGTAGTTGGAATTGGAACAATTATTAGCATACCCCTTTCACCAGACAAGGAAGGAAAATCCATTTACTTAATTTTTTTAACAATAACGAATCTAATAAAACGTAATAATGGAAAAATGAAATAAAAATATGCATATTTTTACATACAGTTCGCTTTTTTTTCTTAATACCTGTCAAATTATTGTAAAGTTGTCAAAGTTAACAGGGAATTTTGTTTTATCATGTTTTGAAATAAATATGTCACTGACGTTGAACTTTCGTTATTCAAAAAGTCAAAAGTGATAAAATTAAAATAAAATGAACTCAAGAAAAAAACGCAACTTATTGGGAGTCGAACTAAAACGAGCGTTACTAAGGTACAAATTGGAACTTCGTTCAAATTCGTTTTCTTTAATTCAAAATTTATCATGTTACTAAAACTTATTTACAGTATATACCGTAATGAAGAAAATTTTCAATTTTATCGGGTATTTCCATATTTGAATTGGACGAGGATTAAGCTTTCGAATGAAATATTGTTAATCGAAATCTGTTAATTGGGGCTAACTTCGCATAGGTGAGAAATTTAAAGTTTATATAAGATTGAAAATATTTATTGGAACTACATCTGTAAATATATATAAATATAAAGTTGTATAACATTACTCGACAAGTACCGCACATTCGTGATTAAAAGCATAAATAATTAAACTTTTATTGATATATGAGTTATCATAAAAAAAATCGCTCTCATTTTCGGGAATTCCACGAACGGCTTTAATTCTACTAATGATAGATCGAGTAGTGTTTAAATTTAAAAGTCCGGTATATAAAACGTTGATACGCTTATTAGACAAAATCTCAAATAATTTCGCCATTCCATTACAGGAATTCGCCCAACCTGTTATACATAAAGGAACCTTTCGTAAAATCAAATTAAATTCGTTTTCTTCTTCCATTGGATCCAAAATAATTGTTCTATTTAATACGCCGATTTCTTGATCGGTTTTTAAGTTTTTTTCTGTATTGGTATCGTTTAGCTCTTCAATACTTAAACGATTGATAATTTCAAAAAATCTTTCTGTATTTATCGAAAAATTTAATGATGTTTCGTTAATACCAATATTAAATCCTTCTGTAACATACAACCAGTTACAAAGAGTTAAAATTTTATTATATTCAATCATTCTTGGGAGACTATAGTTATTTACACTTAAATTTATTAGATTTAAAAAATGATTTGTTACAAATAATTGCATTTTTTTCGGATCGTTAAAATAATTGAATGTTTCAGTTAAAATGTTGATGTAATTAATTTCTTTTAAATTTTTATTATCGGGGATTTGAATTACACGGATTTTACTTCTAGTTGTGGTCGTTGATAAGCAATTATTACAAGTTTCAATTATGATAAACGAATCGTTTAAATCATCCTCATAAGCTTCATTTTCGTTTATAAGGTATATATTAGGAACTTTTAAAAACCGATTTCCTTCAATGCTTATCCCTGATTTCATATAAATTTGTTTGTTACGATTTTTATTTAATAACCCAACAATGACATTGTACTCGCAATTATCTTCAATTAAATTTATTACAACTCCGGGATATTCTTCAAAAACGTTATTATTTTCTTTGGTTTCTTCAGGATCTTTTTTGTTTCTATTGAACTCTTTCGGAGTTTTAAACACCATAACATAATCCCCCGTTTTTGGATTATGCAAACAATTTTGATTATTTTCGTCAAAATTATTTGTATCAAAAATTTGATTTTGACTTGGTTTCGTTGCGCCTTTATAAACGATGACGATTTTCTCTTTAGAAACGATTTCTTTAATATCGGGATTTAACAACGCAACTATATAATCATCATTTAATGATAATCCTAATTTATTTTCTTCATTTTGTGATATTTGCTCGTTTAAGTGTTCTTTATTATCAAGTTTTTTTAACACATAAAGACATTGAATTAAATCGTTGTTGGGATCATTAATTTTTTCGTCGTTTTTTTGGTCCAATTCAAATAATTTTGATTCATTCTCTGTAATTTCTTGTACTATTTCAGAATCATTTATTGACTCAACATCGACATCCATTAATTCGTCGAAATCCATTTTTTCGTTGCACTCATTGTTATAATTACCCATTATTAGTTGATACAAATTTATTGCTTGATCTTGTTCTTCGGCGTAACTCAATAAAAAATCGTTATTTTCGGCGCTTTTTAAGGAAACTTTTTGATCACGTATTTCTTGTGTTTTCTCATTCAAGACTTCGTCTAAAGTTTTTGGTATCATTGCGCACGGATTTAAAAATAAAATTTCGTCTATAATATCATCATCGCTTTCCTGATCACTTTCACCATCGCTTCTACCAATTTTACTTGATACATTTTTAAGGTGCAAATTATTTTCTTCGTTAATTCTAATTAAATTTAACAAAAACATCTTTCGATCTTCAACTACTAACTGTTTTTCAACACCGTCCCCTTCAATTAATGTTGCAGTAACTAATTCGATATCTTTTGTATAAATTTGAATAATTTCCGATTTCAATTTTAATAATCCTTTTGGTGTATTAAAACTTCCCGTGACGTTATAAAGATCGTTGTTGAGTGTTGTTTCATTTAAATGATCTTTAATACTATTCATTGATTCGAAATAAGTCATTTTTAATATTGTTATCATCACACGAAATGCCAAATCAAGACGAGTATTGTTTCTGATTAGTTTTATTGATTTGATCGTATCCACGATGTGTTTCCATGATTGATGATGCGTTGTTGATTTCAATATTGAATGTCTATTTAGTTTTATTACATCGTTGTTTGTGTTTAAAGTGTCAAAAGCCATGTCGAAGAGATTTACTACATCTTTTGTACCAACTCTTGGAATTATACCTATGCAATAAAAAAAAGTGAGTTTTAGTTGTATGAACAAAAGCGAAATAGGTTGAATGGCAATGTAAATATAACAAAACACCACTCAGTTGTTACGTTCTGCCAAAGCAACATCCCAATGAAAGCTTAATAAAAAGTATAGCCTAACAGGTTATGGGTCCAGAATTCCACATAAAATGCAACATAGCTTAATAGTACAGGCATTGGGTAGTTTTGCAAAGGAAAAGTTTTGCTTGGAAAAAAGTAACGCCATTATCATGACCCTCAGTTAAATAATGAAGATGCTAATTTAAAAATTCCAATTAAGGAATGAGACTTATTCTAAATTAAAGCTCAAAGCTTTCTCTTTAAAATGATGTATAATAATTGTTGGGTTGGATTGGAAAAATATTGAGAAAAAAAATGTTGAAATAAAACTTACATTTTCGTATAACTTAAAAGTGTCAAAAAAGATGATAATTTAAAAATTCCTGGAAGCCGTTTTTATTGAAATTAAGGAATGAGACTTATTTTTAATTAAAGCTCAATCTTTCTTTTTAAAATGATCTGTAATAATCACACCTATTATTAGGTGTACATCCGAATTTCTCAGGATTTTTGAGGAATCCAACGAGTTTCCAGAGATTTCTATAGATATCCATGTTTTCTAAAAGGTTTTATGAAAATTTCCAAATACATCCAAGAATTTTGTAGCAATTTCCTAAAATTTTCAAAGATAACCAAATATTTCTAGAGATTTCAAGGAATATCCAAAAATTTTTACGAATTTCTTAGGATTTTTGAATGATTTTTTAGAAAAATTAGAAGAATTTCCAGTGATTATTACAAATGTCCAGGACTTTTAATTGTTCCCAGACACATATGTATGCATTTCTTAGTATTTCCAGGAGATTTCCAAAAGATTTCAACGAACTTTCAAGTATACCATACAAATTTCTCAGAATACCTAAGGTTATCTAGGATTTTGCAGATTTCTACAGAATTTCAAGTTGTTAGAAGATTTTATAGGAATTTCCAAACATGTCTAGGGATTTTGAAACCATTTCCAATAATTTTCATAGTCAACTGGGTATTTCTAAAAATTTTAAGGTATTTAGACACATTTTCAAAGCTATTCATCGATTTTTACGGATATCTTAGGATTTTTGAGTGTATCCAACGTTTTCGAATGATTTTTTAGAAAAATTAGAAGGATTTCCAAGGATATCCAATGATTATTACGAATGTCCAGGACTTTTAATTCTTCCCAGACACTTATGTATGCATTTCTTAGTATTTCCAAAAGATTTCAACGGATTTTTAAGTATACCATAAAAATTTCTCAGAATACCTAAGGTTATCTAAGACTTTGCAGAAATTTTCAAACATGTCTAGGAATTTTGAAACGATTTCCAATAACTTTCATAGTAAACTGGGTATTTCTAAAAATTTTAAGGAATTTAGACACATTTTCAAAGCTATCCATTGATCCTTACAGATATCTTAGAATTTTTTAGTGTATCAAAGTTTTAGAATGATTTTTTAGAAAAATTGGAAGGATTTCTAAGGATATCTAGGGGTTATTACGAATGTCCATGATTTTTAGTTATTTCTAGTAATGGGAATACCGCTCATAACCGTGTCGCGTTCCAGGAACGGTCGCTACACAAAAACTTGTTTTTGAAGTCGTTTCAAATCTTCTTCAGATGATATACCTGAGCAAGTTGAATTAAGATTAGATCAAGAGGTTAATCAAATGATGAACGAAATTGATGAAAAAATGACAGAAGAAAACGAAACAATTCAGGTAGAGCAAGATGAAGGAGATAGAGAGAAGCAAGACGAAGAAAAACATAATTAAGGGGACAAAGAACAAGAAAACCACCTTTAAGATGACCTTTATGATGAATGGAGGAAGATCTTTAAATGAAGTATTACCCATATGAATATACCAGTCTTTTTCAATTAAGTGTTCAACGTGATTTATACAATTACTCAATAATTCTGCTGCACAATTTAACAAAGCATATTCTTTATATAACTTAACGACATATCTTTATATATTTCCCTGCAAAAAATGGCAGGATCACTTTTTGAATAAGGAAACCTCAAATAAACGTCAATGTGACATTTATTTCAAAACATGATAAAACAAAACTCCCCATTAATTTTGCCAACTTTATAATAATTTGACAGATATTATAGAAAAAAAACGAAATGTATTTAAAAATGAGGATACAACAATGTTATAACCCAACATTTAAGAATAAAATTAAAATAAATAAACTTACCATTATTGTTACCATGAACCAAACTAATAAAAGAAGACATGCTGAATATAGCAATGGCAAAATCTGTACTATCAGGTTTATATTTATCAATACTTTCTTTAAATTTCTCCACACCACAATCATGTTGAACCAACATAGCAAAATCTGCAAATTTTCCTGTAGTTTTCTGCCCCAATAATCCAAATTGAATGTTATGGCATAAAAACACATCACGAGTGTCTTCCATTAAAGATATAGGATCAAAAATATGAACAATATCCATGTTTGCAACACGATAAATTAAAGCTTCATAATTATCTTTCGGTGGTGGTTTCGATTTTTTAATTAAAATATCGATAACTTTCTTGATTCTATCTGAAACGTTCGATATGGTTGTAACAACAAAGAGTTCGCATTTTATTAAATCTTTGATGTAATGTTCAAGTTTTTCAGCGATAAACTTAGGATCAACATTTCTCTTGTAAAATAAGCAACCAATCGGTTGTGCCAAGTTGTTGTTGATGGTTTGTATTGAAAGTATTAACGATTTCTCAAAAATTTCATCATCATCGACATCATAACAATCTTTTGGATTGACTTCAAACATTGTTAAGGCTATGTATCGAAATGTTGGCAACGAACTCCACCCATAACTTTGTAGACAACGAAAAATCTTTTCTTCCATGATGTTTGGTTTTAAGGATTCCATGTCTTAAGAATTAAAAAAGGATACATTTATAACCAAATTGTTTGGGTCTTTATTAACTTACCATAATCTAAAACGGATAAATCCATGTCTTTTGACTGGCCTAAAAGACCTAAAAGAACTAAAAGTGTTTGGTAATGAAGGGTCAAGTTAACTTCTTCTTCTTAATACCGGTAAAGTTGATAAATACAAATTTTAGCCAATCAAATTCATTCTTTTCTGGAATTCCCCGCCATATTCAAAATAATTTAGTTATCTATAAAATTAATTACGTCAACTTAGGCAACCAATTTTACAGAATCAATATTAAATTTTTTTAATTTATATATAATAATATACAACAAACTAAATTAAATAATTTTATTATTAAATAGAGTGTTATAACCCTGTAATAAATACAAAATAATAAAATGCTGAGATTATGTTTTTAGCATACTTGTCTAACCTACAAATGTTGTTATGTCAGATATCTGTCAAAAATAACTGATATGGATTTACAAGAGAATTTTTAACGCGTATTCTGAAATGATTTCGTATTGAGAGGTTTAAAAAACGATTTGATATGGGACGAAATCCGCCCTCGTTAAAATTACGACAACAAAATGGTAATCATTCCAAGAAAGAATCGAAAAAAGAGACTCAAAAAAGAGCTCAACAACAACAAAAGTAGGTTTAACGTTCTGTTTTAGTAATTATTTATAAAATTGATTGATTTTTAGAAGACCAGAACCAGAAATTAATAATTTGTTATACCCAAGTGGTGATACAGCGTTTAAAGCAATTTTATTAACTAGATTTTGTGCTGCAATTTGGTCGCATATCACGGATTGCGATGAAACGTATAATTATTGGGAACCTATGCATTATTTAATATTCGATAAAGGTTTGCAAACGTGGGAGTATAGCCCTGAGTTTGCTTTAAGGTCGTATACATACCTTTTAATTCATGGAGTACCAGGAATAATTTATCAGCGTCTTTTAAGACCTAATCCTTTATTAATTTTTTATTTTATCAGATGTTTATTGGTTTTATTATGTTCTTTTGTAGAGGTGTTCTTTTACAAGTAATTATTATTGTTTTGATTTTTTTTTGATTGATTTATTTATGTTTGGTGTTTTATTTAGAGCCGTTTGTCGTGAATTTGGAGTCCACATTGGAAGAATGTGTTTGGTGTTTCAATTATTTTCGGCAGGGATGTTTATCTCCTGTTCGGCGTTGTTACCATCATCTTGGGCAATGTATATGTGTTTTGTTATGTGTGGTGCTTGGTGGATGCAAAAATATGAATTAGCAATTTTTGCAACAGCACTAGGTGCTCTGTTAGGTAATAATGGTATATTAAAAAACAAGTTTTGTAAGACGCCCTTGAAATGCACGAATTAAAGTTGAAAAACGAGTGCTTTAAGTCTTATGAAACGTGTTTTTTATGCTATTTTTTTGTAATTCGCGTTTTTATCCTTTTTTTAAATGAAAATAAAATAAATTTTTGCAATGGAGGGAAATAGGTATATAGTAGTGGTGGAACGGACATCCATAACTTTTAGTTTTTGAGAAAACAATATTTGAAGTTTTGATAAATTTTCGATGTTGCAATTTTCAGCGATAATTTTCAAAATTCGCTATAAAATTAATTTCTTGAAAGATCTTTGTGGAAATGTCACCAATTATCAATTAAAGTATCCTCTTTTTAGAGTTTCTTCGTTAGTTAAATCAGCATCAAAAAAGTTCATTTTGTATCTTGGATCCAAATAGGTTGACATATCTTTTCAGTTTTCTTATTAATTTCATTTTTATTCAAATATCGCAATAATGTGCAATGTAGGGTATCACTTCAGAAATGTAACAGAAATTATAACCATCAGTGGCGCCGACTTTTTAATATTTAAGGGGGGGCTGAACTTTTTCAAATGGTACACCTTATTATAATACAATTCTATTGTACAATACAATTGTACACTTTTACAATTTTCCGGGGGGTTCAAGCCCCGCAGCCCCCCCGTAGTCGGCGCCACTGATAACCATAATGGCCATCCGGCCGAAGGGAACGCCGAATATCCGGCTTTTCGCAAAATCACTATCCGTTCCATCACTAGTATATAGCAGTTGGTAACACCGTAACCGTTGAAAATAGAAATTTGAATTGACAAAACACAAAATGTTTTCACCTGAAAAAAATGTTTCTTGTACACCTCCCAAAATAAGAGAAATTACTCAGAGTTCAATGTCCTCATCATTGTGGACCTTATATTCGATGCTAAGAACGTGTTTAAACATCCATAGACAAAAATTGTCACATTGACAACTAGAAAAATTAATGACCCAATGCCACCAACTTGAACTGGTTCCATAAAATGTTACTAAAATCTCATTACAGCATCGGATGCTGTAAGGAGT